CAAATCTATATCTATCGAAAAAGTTGACCGACAGTCCCTTTAGCCTGTTTTGACTGTTTAAGAACCTCGAAACCTCATGCTTTGTAAATAAAGTGAACTCATTTGTCAGCTGACAATTACTTCTGTGATTAAGAGCCCTTATGATCACATAGAACTGTTTGTCATATGTCGAGTGCTTTCTAATGGACTCATTCGACTTCTCACTGAAGAAGTCTATGGGGCGGCCTTCCTGGCTAAGTACTACTCTGACCCCACATTTGAGGTGCCACACTCCACCTAGAATAATTGATTGAAGTCCAATGATGTCAATAATGGTGCCCAAGTAATCTTCTCCTTTAGAGGGTCGAAACAGAACTCAACTGCCTTCGTCCACTCCTTTTCTAAAGTTCTGTCAAGGGTGTCATGATGGTGTTGAAGCTCTCGATGAACCGCTAATAGAATAATGCTAACCCTAAAAATTGTCTCAATTTGATAAAGGACTGAGGGGGCGTACAGTTCATGATGGCCTCAATTTTTGCAAGATATATTTAAATGCCTGAACTAGACACAATATAGCCCAAAAAGCATACTTGTGTTGTTAGAAAGTGGCACTTCTTTGAGTGGTAGTAAGGTTCTTCCAATAGTAGAACCTCAAAGACCATCCTCAGATGTTGTAAGTGCTCCTCATTAGATCTGTAGTATACAAGAATATCATCGAAGTACATCAGTATGAACTTCCCAATGTGAGCCCAAAACACTTGATTAATCAACCTCATGAACATGTTGGGTGCATTGGATAGCCTAAAAGACATGATTGTCCACTCTTATAATCCATCCCGAGTCTTGAAAGCAGGCTTTCAATCATCCCTTGATCTCATCCTGATATAATGATATCCGCTGCATTAGTCAATTTTGAAAAAGACAATAGATCCATGCAACTTACCCTACATGTCAGGAAAGTATAGGAAACATGTATTTGATGGTGATTTTGTTGACAACTCGACTTTACTACAAATCATCCACGATCAATCCTTCTTAGGCACCACTAAGGCGGGGACAACGCACGAGATAGTACTCTTTCTCTCACAAAGTCTCTTGCAACGAGATATTGTACCTATTGTTTTAATTCCTTGTACTCTACAGGTCTCAATTTGTAGGCAGACATGTTTGACAATATTATTCTTGGGATGAGATCTACGACATGTTGAATGTCCCTCAACGGTGAAACCCTTCTGGAAGGCTGTCAATCATCACATTCTGAAATTCAGCTAGTAGTGGCTTTATAGGCTTTGGGATCTCAATCTCTTCCCCAGTTCCTTCTAAGAGGACTAAATTTATTTCCACTAGAGCTTCTCGTACCAACTTCATAAAGGTGGCTTGTGGTAGTATCGTCTCCTCTATAATTTCTACTCCTCTCGAATCTAAGACGAGTAAAAGAACTATGTGTCTTCCATCTTTCTTGAATGAATAAATGTTTTTGACTTATCATGTTTGGTATTGCGGTGGAACTGTTACAACCTTCTCAAAAAAATATGATCAGCATTCATGGGTATCACATCGCACCACACCTGCTCCTGCAGTTTGTCTCTTAGAGAAAACTCAACCAAGCACTCTTGGTCCATTCATATCTCATTTCCCCTTCTCAACCAGGTAAGGAAAGAGGGTTGAGAGTGCTTCTGCATGGCCAAATCCAGATTCTTCACCATCATAGTGGATACCACATTCTCACAGCTCCCACCATCTACAGACCTTCCCTCTCATAGTGCTCATGGTGTGGAAAATGCTATGTCATAGCCATGAGTGATCATTCTCCGACTCAGTCTGTAGAACCCTCCTTATGACTATCATCTCTCCCCCTTCTCCCTGGAGTCGATGTTCCTCATCCTGATCTTGCACTGCTTCCTCCTCATTTTCTCAACGATACCCTGCTCGGTGAAGGAAATAACTCGGCTTGTAGGGTAGTTAGAAGCTATGTGTTCGAAGCCGCAACACCTAAAACATCTTCTGGTAGGCACTGTAACAAGTGTGTTACATTTCTTGGGCTTCTTTCCACTAAAATTTGTCCTGTCATGCCCCTGTCAAGTCTTCCCAACTCCTCCAGATGTAACCTTGTTGGTAGTTGGAGCTGTAGGTGGTTGTCTGAATGAGGGTGGTTGTTTGTTTTGTTTTTGTTGTCTCTCCACCTTCAAAGCTAAGGTATGTATATCTCCCAGTAACTAATAGGTATGCAGTTGAACATCACTGATAACTAACTTCAGACGTCCCAAATGTCGTGTTTTCTTATGTTACTCTGGTTCGATCAACTCGCATTTCATCTAAAGCTGCTCAAACTGTGTTGTGAACTCCTCTACTGATACGTCTCTCTGATGTAGATGATGGAACCTCAGGAACATGTCCATAAGGTAGTGAGATGGTCTCTCTCCCATCTAGTAAAATTATCACTTCCTTCTCTCCTTATTTGCCTCTGCAAATTTTTCCATCATAAAAAAATGCTCTTTTTCAATTAATGGCCCACGAGCTTCAACCTCATGTCTTTTGGCACCTCTTTGTACTCGAAGATTCTCTCAATCGACTGCAACCATTTGATGAAATTATCTAAGATTCATCCCTCCTTCAAACTCTGATAGATCCACTTTCACTCCAAAATCTCTATGTTCTCCATATGTGGCATCCTCTCTCTGTCTCATGTGATAATTAATTCTGAAGTGTTGTGGTATATCCTCTTGATCACTAAAGTCCTCCCTATGGATGAGATTAAAATTCTCATCTCTTTCTCCTCTTCGACTCTCTGCATCTCGATCGAGGGTAATTTTCCTTGAGTCTCACCATCAATCTATGTAAGTCTCTGTTGAAGTTGACAGATCTCTCGTGGTATCTCTTCTTGGGTAAGTTATGACATGTGTCTCCTTGATGGCATGATTAGGGTTTGGATTGTTGGGAGTGGAAGGGTATTGGAATGGGAAACATAAAGATTTTTTTGAGGTTGGAGGTATGACAGATGCTAGAAATCTTAGAATAAGTTTGGGGCTAAACTAACTTTAATACCAAATGATAATGGTGATAACCCAAACCATTACACTATTGCAACAAAAAGGAAATGCAACAATGTGCACATAATGCTAACACCAAACTAATGTTGGATTCGAGGTGGACGAAAGACTGTTATAAAGGGTTGTGGCTGGGAAAGGGAAGGTGGTTGGGGTGGTCTGGTAAAAAAGGACGGTAGATTGAGGGTTGGAAGACAAAGGACAACATTGATGGGGGGCTGGCACCAAGGGGAGTAGTAGGTTGAGTGCTAGTAGTTGGGAGACAGTAGGCTAGGAGGGTTGACGACAAGGAAACAATGGGTTGGAAGGTTTGGTAGTAAGGAAACAATATGGGGAGGTTCGATAATAAGGGAAGTAGGTAGAGATGCTGCTAGCGGCGTTGGACAACATGTAAGAAGGTAGGAAAGGGCAACAATAAGCAAGAAAGGGAAGGATACACACCATCTTGAGACGAGTTACAACCAAAGCACCGTCTCTCCATTGGAGACAACCATAGGAAGGGAAAAGGGGCGCCGAGGACTGCCATGACAGAAATCTGAAAACAAAAGTTTCCCTAAAACAAGTAGAAATAACATATAAATAGGCCGAGTAAAATAGGAGATGCCCCACCCACTCGGGAGGCAACCCCATGCCCTAGGAGAATCAGCCGACCCTCCTATTCCCACCCAAAACTAGTTCAGGCGGACAACCCCACATCACAAATATACAAAATATTGAAGGTGATATGTTGGGGATCGATATGAATGTCAAATTTTTGGAACTCTCAAAGTCTAAATGCGCCAAAATATGACCTATTTATAAAGATTCATTCAAGTGGAGACTAAAAAATCCCTAGCCCTCCATCAGATACCACAAAAACACCCCCTTTATCATTTTACATTTTTTTGTCATCTTAATGCATTAGTGACTCAAATTGTAAGGTTGGACTAGTCGGATTTGCCTTGATATACTCTTTCTAACAATGAATATGCACAACTTTTTAGGAAATTTCACCTTCAAATGGCATGGGAAAGTTTATAATTATACTTTTGAGTGCTTAATTTAAATACATTTTGATAGGGATCCAAAGTCCTTGATATCATTAGGATACATTGAATTCACTGAATCAACTACGAGTTTGTTATATATGAAATCCAAATGACGTTAAAATCAATTCATGAAATATTTAGCATAAACACTTAAATGCTTTGAGATATAAAAATTGATCAAAATTTATATTTGATCAAATGAAAATTTATAGTTGATTTATATTTTCGATCTAATAAACAAGTAGAAAAATGCTCATAATCTCTAAACCAAACAAGCATTCAAATAATGCTCCAACAATGTAACAAAATATTGAATCTGGACAACAAAAAATGCTCATAATCTCTAAATCAAACAAGCATTCAAATAAAAAATCATAAATATTCAACAATTTAGCAGGCATTTAAAGTTGTCTTCTGAATGTAGTTGATGTCAAATACAATAACAATACAACTCATAGAAGAAATTAACCAAATATTACTTGAGATCATGTATCCTCTTGGCAGAGCTCAATGTATTGGACAGAAGCATGGCTATAGTCATGGGACCAACTCCACCCGGTACAGGAGTGATAGCTGAAGCCACCCTAGAGGCCTCCTCAAAACAAACATCACCCACCAGCCGGTATCCTCGAGCACTGTGCGCATCCTGAAACATCAAGGTACAAACTTTTGAGAGAGAAAAATAAACATTTCAATTTAATAAAAGGAAGATTTACATATATACCACTTAATTCCGCTGTATTTACATATCTAACATCTAAACTTCAATTATATTAGTTTAAGAGTGGTGTAGTGCTCTCATTAACAATAAGGTTTCTCATCTCTTATGACATCTTCTCAAAAATAATAAAGCTAAAATCTTAAGCCTGCTCAAACAAAAATTGAAGGAAAAGGAAAGCAGCTTCAATTATACATCAATAAAAATTTTAAAACATACAAAAAAGTTTCTAGTACTATTAATTATTCTTAAGATGTAGAAGTCTAATGGTCCACAGATCCGAGCCGATCCTATCAAACAATTAGCCATTCGGCCATCCTTTTAACATGGAGACTCTCCAAGACCATCCCATAAAACATGAGAAACCAAAATTAGCAATTTCAATCTCAATTATAACAAAAGTTGCTCATAGCGTATGATGCTTGAGGGCACCTTTTTATATTAAAACTTATGACACTTACTAGAATTTTTTAGATCTTGAGACGAAATCAATGGAACATATTGTTAAATCACAAAAATAAGATTTATAGGGACAGTAAAGTTTGCAAAATTACATGCAGCTAGTTGAATTTCTGAATTTAGGAGTGTGACTCGGACTTACATCAACAGCATTGATTCCAACATCTATAACAACTGCACCAGGTTTTAGCCAGCTACCCCTCACCATATTTGGAACTCCAGCAGCTGAAATGAGTATATCTGCCTGTCTTGTGATTTCTTCAGGGTTTTTAGTTTTGGAATGTATGATGCTTATTGTTGCATTTGCTCTCTGTCAAAACAGAACTATCCAGATTAGTACAATAATTGAAAGCGAAAGAGTCATGTAAACTCAAATAAGGAGCAGAAGCAGAATCAGATTAGGCCAAATATTGTGTCAGTCATATCTATTACTCTAGTAATGAGTTGATAAACAAATGATGCATGTAATTTAGTAATTTTGAATGATTTTTTTTTTTTCTAATTTTCATCTGGTGTGTATAAATTGGATGCAAGATTCATTTGAGTGCATTACAAATACGACTACTATTCATGAAGGAAGCCATCTCCTTGTATTGATGCAGATATCCTTGACCAACTTTTTCCAAGATATATTGTCATTAGCTTGTTAGTATTTTCTATTTGTTCAAATTTGATACATTAAAGACTGAAATTGTGGTGAATAAATTACAATTATGTGATGATTTAGTGTTATTTGAAATTTTTATTAATTTCTTCAGTTTTATTCAATCATTGCATTATTGATTGTGTTCTAATTCTTATATCTATTTGTTCACAACTAAATAAATCAACTTTTTGCACAATCAGTAATATTTGAAATGTATCATAATTTTCTTCAATAATATACATATGTTCTATAATTTAAGTAGTCTTAGGAAAACATAATTGCAAATCATCCTACCTAAAATTGGTATGAGACCCAATGATTGCAACATCACGTTGACTATATCTGTTTGATTTCCAAATAAGTGAGACATGCTCAATCATTTTAGCGAAGTGTTGCTACTAAATCATCATGACCAGATATGAATCAAAATTAAAAAGAGTAATACAGCTTATATGTAGTAATTGCATGATCAGCTTTGAGAATTGTAAATAAAATAAAAATGATATGTTTATTATACAAGGATTATAGGCCTTATAGCTAAACATTATTTGCCTTCAGATTATTTTGTTATTGTTCTTTATTTTACTAAAAGTTTTAAGCGTAAAATTAGGGGCAAACAAAACTACATTTCACAAAAATTATTGAATGAGGCTAGCTTTAGATGTTATAAAATTTTTACAACTACTCTCCTTATAGGATTGTTACACATATTTTATTCCTAAAAAACTTAAAAACAATACATATAAAGCCTTTTGAAAATACATCAATGCAAGAATCATTTATGGTTGAAGGTCATCTTATTGAAGAAATTGTAATTCAATGAATACTCATTCGGGTACATTTTAGATTTAGCCATGTAGGAAATGATATTTAGTTACAAAATGCATCCACATTTGATGATTTTAAATTTAAATTTGCGCATACATATCATGTATATGAAACTAAAAATATATTCATCAAGTGTTAGTATTGGAGTTTCAAAGTAAAACTAAGCATGAGATCATATTTAAACCTAAATTTCTAATGGAGATTGAACCTATGCTTGACAGCAAAACTATATCAATTATTTCCTAGTTGATCAATCAAATGAGTAATCTGATAAAGCAACCCCTGATGATTTGTTTAATAATATTATTCTGATGATGGATGATCATAGAATGAATCTTATCTCAAGAGCTAAGTGGAATGAATATTTCAAAGTATTTTTTAATAACAAATAACTTACAAGATGACTAAAATATAAAATTCATCTATCTAATCAATCCTAAAGGTGCATAATTCATTACAATTAATTTTAGCTATTTGGGTTAGTTTTCTTCAAAGAGATCATCCTTCCATATCGGCATAATATATTTTTTACATTTCGTTTACTTTTAATTTCTTTATTAAATCATTTTTTGAGATATAGTAAAAGATCATTCTCAGCATCCCTTAGTATGTATATTTATATTTTATCATTTCACTGCTTGCTTCATATCGTTTACATTATTAGAATGATTTGCATTATTTTAATGAATTGTATAAGGATATTTGTACGACAATGAACTAGTCAATTATAAGCTTTACATTGATGTGAACAGAGGAAAGGTAAGCTTAAATCTAGTGATAAAATCATGGTGTATTTAAATTCCAAAAATCTGCCATTAAGAACCAACAAGGGATTACAGGTAAGAAAAATAGAACCATTTAAATTTTGTAATGCACTAGGACTACTGCCTAGAAACTAAGAAATTCAAAAAAAAATTATAGTGATATAATTGTAAATGTGCCTTATTTGCTTCTTTCAAGAACCTGCTATATATTTTTTTAATTCATCTCCTCATAAATCTACACCAAATTCTCTGTCAAATAATTTCATATGTTCCTGAACGTATTTTGAATGATAAGATTGTGTCTATTGTCATTGTTAAGGCAGCTTCTAAAGATATCTTGTTTGCTGATGAGACATGTTTGCTGTAATAACTCACAAATTGTAGGAGCCACAAAATTCACGTTGCCATTTGTTTGATGAGCATCAAATGCTAACTTCGAAATCCTTTTTGTTTCAAAGCACATAGATTGATGTGAAATTGTAGCTCGACTTTTAAGATTATAACTTGTGTGTGCTGTTCCTAATTCTATGGCATATCTGTTTTTTGAGACTGTAGCTGCTTTTGTAGAAACCATTACACTATATGATACTTATGATTTGTTCGAGAAATGCAAATGATTAGAGCTCGAGTGAGCTTCCCAAGTGTTTCTGTTTGGCTTGTTTGAATTTTTATTTGTTTAAATTGTTCATAAAAATCATGTTCGAGCCAAAAAGGACTGTTCTTAAACATATGAAAGTAACTAAATAAGAAACTAAACAAGATAAAATCATTTACTTATGTACTAACCAATTAAAAGATCTAAAAAATATAAAATTAATAATATATAATTCACATACACACACATCTTAAGCCAAATTGTTATATAAGCAAGCTAACTTAATCAACAAATTAAATTTGAGCCTATTAGCAGACCAAAAATAAGTGATTTGAAAATGGCATGCACTTTTAACATCTCTAATTTCATTATACTCATTCACCATTGTAATGACGTAAATTCCTAATGCTAAGTGGACTTGGTACGACCACTTCCATGTTATACCAAGTGGATTTATGTTTCACGGGTTCATCTTGTGAAAACTACATTTGTTTGCGGGAAAAATTACTTTGTGATTGTTTAAATTCCTGATACTTTGATAAGTTTTAAGTGAGAATTTACAGGTTATCTAGAATTAGATTTGTTTAAAATTGTGCAAACCATATCTACTAATCAGGGGATGAAAAGTTTATAAATAGATGATCTGAGACATAATTTAAGAACCAATATTGAATATAATTAAATCTTCTAATTTTTAATTTTTTGTGTGAGTGTGGGATTCCTTCAAGTGTGGTAATAGTTACTTTGGTCTATCACTTAAATTGCTTTTTTCAACATATTTTAGTATTGCTTGACAATATTCATGATTCAATTTAAATTCAATATAATTGAGTTTTTTTATCTTGATGGACAAATTATGATTACTCACTACTCTTGCATTATTCTATTTTCTCATTGACTTATTCAGATCTATTGGATCATTGCATATCATTTGGAATTTCTCATATTTATTAGCTTGCACATAAAGAAAACTACTTTTTTGGTATTTGGTAGCCTTTGATTTGTGAATCTTAAGTGCCCTTGTATGATCTACACAAATTGCATTATTTTAGTTCCATTAAAAAAACCTTTACTTAAACCATCTCAAATCATTATCGATAATCCCTCAAATATTTCAAAATCATCATTTAGAAGGAAGGGATATGCAAAGTAGCATTAATGTGATATCAAATTTAAAAAAGACCAGAAAATATTAAAGATCTCGTGGTATACAAAACAGATAAAAAAGAAGATACCTGCAATAACAATGCAGCAGGCATTCCAACAATATTGCTTCTCCCAATCACGACAGCTCTCTTACCCTTGATTTCAACATTATACCTATGCAATAGCTCCATGCAACCTTTAGGAGTACATGGGATAAATAAAGGATCCCTGCCTTGCATGGCAAGCCGACCAATATTCAGTGGATGGAAACCATCAACATCTTTCTCTATAGCAACAGCATTCAAAATTTTTTCTTCATTTATGTGCTGCCAATATCCAGTAAAAGAATCAAATTAGTACACCATTATGTATGCTGATAAGCTATAGAGGATGCCAGTTGCCAACTGATGAATGAATGCTCCAGTTTTTTCTCCAAATCTTGTCATTTTGGTTTTGAAGGGTGTTGCAACAAAGTTTCTTCATTTTTTTGTATTTTCAATGGAACAAGGGAGGCAGTGACTGTCAAGCATGTGAAATGCTCTCAGTGGAAGGTGCGTGAAGGTGTTGTATTAGTGTATTTTCTATGATTCTTCTATGTATATATGTGTAAACGTACATATTTTAAATGTTTTGTACACAGCAATGCAATGCAGAATAACACATTCACTCCCGCTAAGCACGTTGAATGCATCTAATAATTTTTCCAATGAAGGGACCGGTTTGTCACCAGGACCTCACATAGAACAATCTTAATTACATATCAGCTGTATTCCTATAAAATAACACCATACAATAAAATTTAGTGGAGCAATATGCAGGGAAAACAGGAAAGATTAAACAGATGGAAGACCCTAACATGAATACAAATTTTATAAATAATGCATTCTTATTACAACATGAGCAAGCTTAAAGAATATAAATCATCAGCAAGAATATATATGTATAGTATAGAACTAACAATAGAGGAAACGTGCATTGCCTCGGTAAAACAAGTCCTTGTTTCCACTACAATTCCTCATTCACCCAAAAATAATAATAATAATAATAATAATAATAAATAATACTTGGGAGACTAAATTCCCACCAACCATAGTCATCTCATTACTACATGTCAAAGAGAAGACATGAAACGTACCTGAGGTAAAGGCAACTGTACAAGGATGGCATGGACTGAAGGATTGTTATTGAAGTCAGAGATGTGCTTGATAACATCTTCCTCTGTGCAATCTTCAGGCAAACTAACCTCAAAAGATGCAATGCCCACCTCCTCACAAGCTTTCTTCTTGTTGCGGACATAGGTTTGAGAATCTTTTCTCGAACCTACTAGAATAACTGCCAGCCCTGGAACAATGCCTGTTGAATCCTTAATTCTTGCTACTTCACTAGCGATTTCATCTCTGATCTTCTTTGCAATTAATTTTCCATCAATAATTGTTGATGATGGCTCAGTTGTCATTCCTAATGTAGATGAATATTTAAACACAAGTACATGAAAAATTAAAACCAACTACATTTGGAGAAATGATCAGAATTTAATCAGCTAGTGAGAACTCATAAAATGCTAAACAAATATTCATGAAAAAGAGATAAAATCAATGAGTCTGGGAAAGCAGAAGTGTCAACTATAGCTTAATAAACTAATGCCCGAGTAACATGCTCGCAAGATGTGAGATCTCTGCTCTAAAAAATGACAAATGTTAAAAAGGATTTTTGCTCAAAATATTAAAAGCAGATCATAGGAGGACTTTGTAGTCTCAATACAAACTGATAAGAAGAAGGATGGGCGGTGCTAATCTTTCACTATAAGAAAGTATAGTGACCTAAAAGTGAAAGAGCCAACCTGGAATGGTTAGAATAACTCTATGATGAGCAAGAGGTTGCAGGTTCAAATCATGACAGTTTCATCTAATTGCATCAAACTCTTTCTGTGCAACAGATTACGGAAACTTAATGTAATAGAAATGCCAACATAGATTTGTATTAGCCATTCAGTTTGGACTAAACTAACAATGACTAATTGAGTGGAGTAAGCCTTGTTGCTGGTCAGACCTTTGTAAAATGTGTCAACCTTTGTCCTAACAGGGAAAAGCAGAATTCTTCATAAAGCTAACTATTGTAAATTCCTGTCTACATCTGGCATCAAGTTTGTGGTATGACAACCATAGGATAAATTCATATGTTTCCAGCTAAAAATGGAAAAAATTTCGTAAGGACTTGCAACTGTTAGTGTCCCATGTAAATGCCAAGCTACATTATTTATCACGCAGATGCAAAGAGTAAAGTTCAAAATAGTCTCCGGACAATTTATATGGGGTTATTTTAGTCCCAAAATTTATAAAAAATATCAAATTAGTCTCTAGACTCTCTTAATATGGGTTGAAATAGTCCCTAATGACGAAATAGTCTCCAATGACGACTATTTTAGCCCAATGTGAACTATTTTAACCCATATTAAAAAAGTCTGTGGAGTACATTAGCACTTTATAGAGTTTGAAACTAAAATGGACCCCTAAAAAAAGTCAAGGGACCATTTTGACACTCTTCTCCACACTAAAACAAGGAAAGTTTTTATTCATGTTTCAAGCAATGAATGGAAACTTTTTTTAAAAATAACTAGCAATTGTTAGTGCCCAGTGTAAACGCCAAACTAATGTCGTTATCATGCAGACTAAAACAGGTCAGGTTATTCCACAGTAGCCATCCATAACTCTACATCGGTAATTCTATCGACAAACAGCTTTTCAAGTTGTTATTAAAGCTTTTCAATAACACCTATGCACCACAAAGCACGCCTAGAAGTAAAGTTTTTTTAAAGATATGTCAAAGTAAAAATGATCAATGCCAATATAGCTACTCAACAACAATTTTGCAGAGAAGTACGAGAGAATGCTTGCGATAGGAACAAACATAAGGTTTTTTTTTTTTAAATGAACACCAGACCTCCAGTTAGCGAGCCACAACTACCTAGTGCGGAATGAAGTACTACAAAAAACCAAATCAAGGTCGAACGCAGGATTAGAAAAAATTAATGTGAGTTACACTAATGCAAATCTAAAAAGGAATACTCATGGATATGCAAATCATATACATCAATATTTATTTAGTTATCTTAATGTCAGTCTTTTAATTTTTTCTAGCATTCTTCATTATAAACATGCCTAGGGTGGTGATTCCGACTACGGATGGATTATATTCTCTAAAATATGTATTGTTCAAGCTTGGTTGGTTCTGTTGATTTTAATTGTCATTGTGGTTGTGGTTGGCTTTGTCCTAAAATTAAAATTTGTGGATGCTTATTTGTCTTACAAGTCGAGAATTGAAAATGTCACTTTCTCCATTTGGCGCTAAAAAGCACAAGTACAATTCATTTAATAAATCACTTTTTTGGAGTTTCTAAAAAAGAACATAGCCAACATGGAGTTTCAAAGCAGATTAGGATAAAGTCACAATATTTATCCCAACTAACTGATGAGGTCAACAAAGGTTTAGTTTAATTTTTGGGAATAGATATTAGTCATAAGAGTAAAACTTTATGGTTATTTATATACCGAGCTCAATTCTAAGAGCATCATTGATTAAGGATATTACTACGCTCTAAATTGGTATGACTTTGTGTCCCAACTTAAGCTGGTGGGCCCAATCTATCAATAAAAAAAATTAGAAGGCCAAACTATCCAAGGACTCTATGAGTAGGCATGGTTTGCTTTCTATCAAATATTCCAAGTAGATTGGTGTGGCAATATGTTAAAGGATGCATCTTTTGGGAGTGAGGCCCAAAATTGGACTTAGAAAGGGCCCAAGGAGACTAGTATAATTGGCTATAATTTAGAGGTTCAAGAATATGATTACCAAAAGTACATCGCATTGGTCTCAACCGATAGACATTAAAGTTAACTCAAAAGTAAACCCAATAAGTGCCTCTTATTCAGAAGCATTGGCATAGCCAATTCAATTGTCCAATATGAGACTAGGCTCACCCAGTAGCAGTAATCACGAGAGGCAAAGGGTTCTGTACCATGGGGCACCTTTGGTGTGAGGCTTGGACTTCACAAATCCATCCCTTGCTATAGAGGTTAATCCACATGATGAAGGGTTAATTATTGTATCTATATGTTACCATGCCCTAAGCTAGCCCAAGTTGGCTCACTTCGGAGTGTAGAATTCATTTAGAAAGATGGATTCCAATACTAGAAATGTTGGGCCTAATATTTTAAATATAGTGTATCTAAAAAAATGAGACTTATATGGTCATATCACAATCCAAGGATGAGTGTGAAACTTATGGGGTTATGATCTACTTAAGAAAGCATGTGGGACGTATGGGACTACGGACTAGCTCCATTTAAAAGAAAAACTAGCTAAGAAGATAGTCATGTAAATCTCTTAAAGCCCAGATCAAATTTGCGACATTGATGGGACATATAATCTCTCGATTAGAAGAAGGCCCAAAGATAAGCCTCGCTACCTGATTTAATAGGATAAGCAACTTGAACCAAATTATTCATCATAAACGACATGAAGTCTTTATGAAAATATGAAACCAATATCTTGGCGAACATCATTTATCTGATCCAAACAAAAGAGAATTGGGGTATAACGCTTTACCAGTAGAGGTGCCCATTAGAAGTACCATTTTGATATTGGAAAGCCTATAAGTGGAACTTACAACCGCTTGAATAAAAGAAAGCATAGTTGTGGGTTTTATGACCTCGCCAAAATGTCACTGCTCAAGATCAAGTATATTGATTAAGTTCAAACTGATTATTAAATTGATGTTGGTTGACTTAAGGACTTTTGCCTTTTATGGTATACAGGCTATAAAAAATTAAACTTACAACCTCAAATATGAGATCCCGACACCAAGGTCTCACTAGCCCAATCTTCAAAACATAAGGAAAAGCCTAAATAATCCCTTGACTATTTGCATATGATTAACTTAGTTCTAGAGTATTAAATTTCTCCGATTTAATTTCTCAACCAAATAAAAATATCCCAAATGGTTCCTCAGGTGGAAATATAATGAGAAATTACAATATAAAATTTGATCCCAATTTAATTATTCAATGATAAAAATTAATCCCAAGTTAGGAGTCATTTCAGATCATTTGTATAGCAAGAGGCTAAATTTTAAAAAAAAATTGATGATCTATAACTTAAGTGGTCATATAATAATAGTTTGAGGGCTACTTTAAGTTTTTTTTCCCTCAAGAAAGCATATTCATGGGGTATCATACCTTAAGTTTAGAATGACCTGAGTGTGAGTCTTTTAACCTAGCCCTATAAGCAAGCTAACTCAAATTTGCATGAAAGAACTTCAAGGCCTCATGAAAACATAAAGCCAAATATCTTGACAAGCTCCATATCATCAAACCTCAAAGCAATATTGTATAAATCACCAATGTGACACTTGACCACAATGAGCCTTCAATAGCTCACATATTGGTCAAGATTACAAGTCATGTTATTGCTCCATCGGAGAACCATGATATCAAAACTTGAAGCAAGTACTTGGAAAGGAAGAAAACATAGATAGTGCTTGTCGTCCAATATCTAAAAAGGAGGCCTCGTTTGAAAGAGGAGGTGCAGGAACATGGCACAAGCAACTAAAAGTGGCTAGTGTGAGTGATGACATACTTCTTATTAATGATAGGTCTCAGCATCAAGCATGGAGTGTTGTTGATGATGACACCATAGGATGAGTATTACAGGAAGCAGAAGGATGAGAGCAGTGCATATGGGTTATGATGCAAGGTCATAGGAGTAAGGAGAAGGATATCTTGTGGGAGGAAATACAATTTCAAACATAATTGGAGATTGGCTAAGAGGTGTCAGAAGAACTCTTCAAAGTGTTATACATCACACTGTAAGCATAATAAAAAATCCAATCATGCTCTTCATGATCGCTAAATCGCACCAGAAACCGGATCATTTAAACTTCAACAAATGCAAAAACTTTGATCTCTTCATGATTTGATGATCAAATTATAAGGGCTTGTTCTTCTTGTAGTATTATTTGATGTGTATTGTTTGAGCATACCCCACATAATCTGATCCCATATTTTTCCCTTTTCTTTTTTCTTCTTTTTATGCGATTGTTTTGCACGTGTAATTGAGATTTGATCATGTTTTATGGATCTGATTTTCTTTCTGTGGTGTAAATTCTAACAATTGTGTGACTTTCATTCAATCTCAAATTTTCTTATAAATTTTATATTTGATGATTATTGTTTTATTGCTTGGAAGATGTTTTACCTGTTTATCAATTTGCATCTAAAGAGATAAGACTTTGCTTAAACTGAGAGCTGGTGAATTGCAAATTTTAATCTTTGGCATATTTATTTATGCATCCCATCCAGTGTTTGCATTAAAAAATCATAGGGCCTTAGACATCCTGCATCAAATTAGTGCCAAAGCATATAACTATATTAATATGTCAGTGAGAAGTGATGGATATGAATTGTTTATTATTGAAATAGTAAGAGAAGCAATATAAGCAAATCAAGCAAGCTATGGTTCTATATGACAAAAATATGACTATCATGTTCTCACACTTGAAAAGCATTATAATCTTGAGGAATTTTCAAAATGGATCAGCAATTTGAATGATTTCTTAAGCATCACTACCTATTGATTTAAAGGTCATTTGGTTGGCTATACTAATGGTGTAATGCATTTGGAATGCAAAAGATTCAAAAAATTTGATGTTTGGTTTAATGAATTTGGAATTTTAGTTAAAATTTCACAGAAATCCAAAATCACCATGTAATTCATTTTTTATGTAATCCAAATACACCATAACCGCTTGCTTCTCATATGCATTAGAAAAACAGGCCAACCATCACTCAACCCATACGGTCGCTGCCCGCCAACGCTGATTGCTGTCTGCCAACCACCGTTATTGCCCACCGTCCGCAGCCGCCTCCCTTCACTACCAACCATAAACTCTGGTCATCATTGTATGTTGTCCACCGACCATCATTAGCCACCCATCACCAAATTTTAAAGTGATTCCATTTTAGTTTAAACAAGAAATTTAAAAAAAAAGTGAACTGCTATGTTGGTTTTACACATAACCAAACGACTCCAAAACATTTTAAATATAATACATTCTTTGTGCATTGCATTCATTCTTCAGGCTACTTAGAAAGACTGAAATTTGCTAACACAAATTGATGAGATTTGCACAATCTTATTAGCATTGTGTTTCGAGTAAAAAAAAAATTAACATTGGATAATATGAAACATAAACTTAAAAAGGGTAAAGTTTATCATTTGAAAAATATAGAGACTAACCACGTGATCAATTTAAGATCTACAAACAAATTGATTTTAGCTTGCTTGAATATTATGCTAGTTTTAATAGGATTTTAACTTAGCATTATTTGCTTTGGGACTATGCCGTAGCCACAATTCATTTCCCTAAGGGTATTGGGCTAGAGTTCAAGAATAAATCAAGCCATAATTCACCAAAATACAATATGCGGTCTTATATAGATCATACCATAATTAGTAATACATTATTATCTTTTAAAATTAAATCAGTTCCAATTTCAATATTTTCTTTTTCCCAACACATGGCATGAATAAGTTTAAACAATAAAGAGAAGCATTGCTAAAATATTGCATCAAAATAAGAATTCACCAATATTTTGTTGAGATAGACAGCTAATCCCATCAAACTATTAGATTAAAATATTACGGTTATCACAATTTGGGTCAAATATCCCAAATCCGTGGAAGCTAAGGAGTTATTTGATTTAAATCTTATCATGATTTCCAAAAACCAAAACAAGGTTACATAGTTCTTGCTAGTCAGACATCAAGACAAAAACTAGATTTGCAAATTTCAACGGGTTATTAGCACATTCATTACCAAAATTCGACACTATTTATTCAACTCAAAAATAAAACAAAATCAAGCAGAACGAAGAAGTGAAGTTCGGAGGGTATAATCTCAGAGTCCATCCCTCTCTATCCAGCCACTACAGAAGCCAGATATGTGCTACCATAAATCATCCATTGGTGGAGGAAGTGAGGAGGGGAAGAAGGAAAAGATAGAAGAAATGGAAAGAACTTGCCTTCTCCTGAAACCCTCGCGGGAGAAAACACAGTAGATTGGCTTCAGAAATGGATAGCGATAAAGAATGGCCTCGCCGGCGCGACTAGTCTGCGATGATCAAACCCCGTTTGGGAATTGTAGCAGAGATTCTCGCGATGAAAGAGGTCGGAAGTAGAGCTGGGTTGGGGGACTCGGGTCGGGCATAAGCCCGAATTTTACTATAGAAAATTATGATTGATGTAAAAAGAAAATAAAAAAATAAAAATAATAGTTAGCAAAATTTTTTGAAAAACAACTTCACAACTGTTTATTGCTGCAATTATCTGCTTATTCAAACAATTGCAATTATCGCATACAGATCCTGAATCAACCTCAATTTTAAGGATTAATTTTATGGAGTTCTAGCTTGAATTCCAATTTAAGATTATGAATTTATTTATTATAAAAATTATTAACTTAAGATAATATCATAATAAAAAAGATAAATATAATAAATAATTAAGAAAAAAATAGTAAATTATTTAATATAAAGTATAAAATATTAGTTTTTAAATATTTTAAATAATTTAAAGATAAAGCCTTCAAATATATATATATATATATAATAATAATAAACATATTTTATGTTAATATTTTTAAACAAGTTGGCACACGGGCTAATGAGTCAAGTCGGGGTTAGCTTGAGCTTGGTTTGTTAGTTCATTGAACTCAGTTCACGAGCCACTTATCGAGTCAAGCTTGAGTCAACTCACGAGTTAGCTTGGCTCACACCCCTAATCCCAGTCCTTTTTGCTGATAACTTTGGTTCTAATTACATGTTTTCATTTTTCTTTTTTTATTTATGCTAAGTTCAATTTTTGAATAATAATAATAATAATAATAATAATAATTACTTTTTATTTAGATAAAATATCATTTGTATTTTACTTGATAAATTATTTCTCAAAAATAATTTTATCAATAAGGATTGATGTGTGTTAGAAGATTTGCAGAAGTAACGTAATGGATTATCGTCTTAGCGTTGCACGAGAATTCAACACACTCATATGAAAAAAAAAAAACCAATAGAGACAAATTTTTAGGTGGAAAACCATAAAAAAAACTACGGAGACTAGTCCTGTTAAAAAAATTAACTATAAACTGGATATTATATATTTGGTCCCTCGTCCCACATGCGGGAAAGGGTTGAACACACTTTGAAGTTACAACATCGGTTCATTGATGAACTTGTTGTAACAAGTGGGCGGTGGCTGATGGTGATTGACCATAATCAGTGAGAGATGTTTGACGACGGTTGATTCCGATTTTCAGTATAGATAGATGTAAAATGTGATGTATGCGATTAATTTCCTTAATAGATATTTTTAATTTGCAACAAATCCAAAAATTTGATCCAAAGCAAAAGCTAGGTAAATCTTTAACTATGAAGCAAATAATAATGCAGTTATAATATTTCAATATGGGATACTGCACAAGTATACGTATTGTTATCAAGTAATATAGAACTTTCTGATTAAGTCCCGAATATCGATCCCAAAGGGAGGACTAATTTTAGATAACAAAATTTACTTAGCAATATATTTTTACTTAAACTTAAGATGTTAAACTATGAATGAAAGTTCGATTCTTTTTGTAATTTTGGATAGTTGAAAATAAAGTAATCAACTAATTAACTTAACTAAAATAGTTGCAAGATGAAGGCAATATTAATAAAATATATTTTTCATTATCATGAATCAGTGATAAATATAAAAATTTTGTTGTGGAAGTATGTTAAATGTGTTGTATCAAATAAGAGCAATAATATTTTTTACTCTTACTAGAGATGCTATAAAGAACATTGACTAATCTATAGTTTTAATAGTTTTGAAAACCGACTAGGCAGAGAATATACTAGTTTTCACTCTAGAGTTTCATCTTCTCCCTCCACCTCAGAGCTAACATCTCGTATCAAAACCTAAAACTATAAATCAAATTGGGGGTTTTAGCCTGTCACTCTAAAGTTTTCTAATTTTACACACTTTAAATATATTTCCCTATTTATCTGCACTCAACCTCATGAACTACATTCACATTCATGAAACACATTCATGTCACATTCATGAAATCAATATGTGATTCCAACCATTTGTTGACTGAGACAATACCATCTCGGACCTTACATATTCTCACAACATGTACTAACACCTTAATTGACCAAATCAAGAAGTAAATGAAAAGCAAGGTTTCAAATCATCATAACTTATTCCAACATTGAAGTCTAATACTTCACACAACTTTCTTTTAAATATTTAATCACTTATCATTTTAAGGAAAAAGATAAAGAAAACTACTCAGAATTCATGAAGAAAACACAACTACACACAAGTTTAAAAGTACAAATTATGTACAAAAACTAGAAATCTAAATTAAAACCAAGTGTAGACACAAAGATAAACACTTATCTCAAATTCTCTCCACCAAATGTATTGAAATTTCTTTAAATTTTATTCCTTCTCTCACAATACAAACTAAAACTTAAAATAAAATAAAATAAAATAAAGGTGGCCGGTGGCGGTGGCAGCCGTGGCAGCAATGGGGGGCGGCAGCGGCGGTGGGTTGTAAAGTTTGATGGATGGCTGACCTCTTTCTCTGAAAAATCTAAGTCTTTTCTTATAAAAATTCAAGGGGTGTCTTTGTGTCTCTTCAAAAATGTGTCTCCATTCAATGAATCTTCTAGAAGTTGCCTCCTCATAAGTAAATGTTGACCTCACTTTTAGTTGAGGTCTAGAAACTTCTTTAATAGCCTAGGTCTAGCCGTAGGACTTTCCTATTGACTAGTCTTAGAAAATTAGAAAAGGTACCCCCACCATTAGAAATTCAAAACTCTTCTTTTTACTCAACTTGAAATTCCACATATTGATCTTAACCTCTAGCATTTAGTAGGTAAGATCATTATAAGAGAATTCAAGAAGAGTCCCTATAGGATTACTTGGCTTTAGGATTGACCCTGGGTATTGACTTGGAACTAGGGTACATCATATCTTCACAATATATTAATCCCTGGTTCATTTAGAATGGATATCTATCCAATTCTATGTGAAATGCCTAACTTGGTCTTTTGCCCCTATGCACCTCCAACAAATTACCGAACTGCCCTTGGGACCTAAATTTGGCTAAAATTCCCAAATTTTGCCAAATTACCCAAAATTGATCAAAACCCATTTCAAACACCTTAAATACATCCAAATTTGTCAAAATTTCCAAAAATGGCCAAATTACCAAGATACCCCTCCATGACCCAAAATCCAAAAA